GAGAAGGTAATCTATGAATCCCAAGGAGCATTTCAGTAAGAAAAATCCAATCACAAAATTAAAATTCTATTGTTTGTGCCAGTAACAGTAAGTAAAACCTAAAGATCAGGTATTGTAGAAATCTGACAAAACGTTCGGCAGCCTTTTAAATTTAGGGTCAATTTTTGGATTAATTTGGCAACTATAGTGACTTTTTAGTTTTCCAGTTCTAAAAGTGAATCTTTCTGAATTCACCACAGCATTGATTTGAGCCTTCTATCGGCTTCATCACAGTATGAAACATGATTTCTAAGAAACACATCTAAAACAATACTCACAACTGATGGCATTGACATAAACCTATAATATCATTAAATTATCCAAGAGAGTCCCTCACTTCAATGTTGAACTACAAACAGGAGTTTACAATTGTAAAAATGACTTCCAGAGCCAGAAGCTCATAGATTACCGTTAACAAGGATCTAACTCCTTAGCTGTGACTGCTATATCACCCATCACTATATGTTGTACCCACATGCCGCAGCTGGAAGCCACTCACTCAAGTGTTTCCAGAAAATCCTCAGTGTAACCTGGTGTAACTCTGTGCTATACACAGACACTCCAGCAAGAAGCAGCTGCAAAAGTACAGTATGGAAGCCTGCATAATTGGCTTGTGGAAAAAAAAAAACGTTAAACAGCACTCAGGATGTGTGAAATCTAACAGACAAACCCCAAACACACTTCTGTGGAGCTTTATGAGAGGAGATGATTGAATGCATGTGTTATATAGCAGGCTGAAACACCTAACAGTCCTATTAGTGCGCATGTTTTTCTACAGTATGAGAAGATCCAGTTGGAATCAACAAACTCTGGCGGCATCTGTTCCAAAATGTCACAGAGTGGGAGGTGGATGAGGCCGTGAAGCAAAATCATCAGATAAATCGATGACACATGCAGGTTCCCATAGCGCCACCTAATTTATATTATGCATTCCACATCTGCAACACAATGCATGACACTTGACGTTGGCCTGCAGCCACTTGGGAGCTCATAAATAAAACAGAAGGGGGGGGGGGGGGGGTGACGTCATTATTGGAAGCAGCGTAGAGAATATGTATGCAGGAATGTGTGGTGTGGGTGTGGTGACCAGCCATGGTTCATAAACATGAGGACCAGTTCAGGGAGAGGACAGAGGAAAGGCTGCTGGCACAGTGGAAGACCCACGAGGTACATCCAAATGTCGCTGAACTTCCCCCCGCCCCAAGCCCTGTCGGGAAAACAAAAGGAGAAACGTGCACTCGTTCCCCAATGACGAGGAATCAAGCACGGATATTATGGCGAGGTCACGCAGAGGGAGAGGAGGTTACGAAGGACCGGAGGGCGGGAGCCGGGGGGGGGGGGCGGAGGATGCAGATGTGCAGTGCGGTGGAGAAGGGAGGCACGATGGGAGGAAATACAACAAGCTATTGTTTGGAGAGAGAGAGCAGGAGCGGACCCACGGGAGAGGCAGCTGAGGACTATTCACACACACACACACACACACACACACACACACACACACACACACACACACACACACACACAAAGGCATGACCAGTCAGGCATACTGCACTGGTCACCTGACGTAATGGGTAAAGGTCACCTTTTGAGGAAATGATGTTCTTTATGGAGAGCTCTTGATGAGTTAACATGGCATTACCTGCAAACTTGAAACCACGGAGAAGTGAGAGGCAAGAGGATGGATATCCATCATCCCTCTGTAAAGGCCCTCACTACATTAGGTTCAACAGGTTTTTTGCCATATAGAGCTGTTCTGTGACGTTATCCTTTCCTGTTTTATTTTTTAAAACTATACATTAGTCTACAATCTGACCAATTTTACATTTTACCTGATACTTTGGGAATTCCATTATTCACTCTGACTTAGGTGAGAAGATTGATACTATTCCTGAAAGTACTGTATGTTGCTGGAGTCAGCAGCCAGTTAGCTTAGCTTAGCACAAAGACTGGAATCAGAGGGAAACAGCTAGTCTGTCCAAAAATAACAATATCCTCCTTCTAACAAATCCAAAGCTCTCTAATTAACTCGTTGTATCTCATATGTTGTTCTTCCTCAGGTCTCTCTATTTTCTCACATGTTTTACTATTAAAGATTTCATATGTTGTTCACATTGTAAAGCCCTCTGAGACATATTAGGGATTCTGGACCATATGAATAAAATCGACTTGAACTTTTTACTTTTCTTTAGAGAAAAAAGAATGTAGAATCTGTTTATTGATTAGAGGGTCAAAGCCGATGAACCATTCCACATGTCCTGACAAAAATGTACGTACCTGTTGAAGATGATCATATCATATGAATATTATTAAATGTTGCTCATTTAGAATTAGTTATCTGTCTAAAAGCAAGTTGCAGGGGCTTTGGAGACAAAGCAATCTGAAAGTAATTGAAAGGAGGATGACCGTTTTCCTAATGTGATTAAATCAGCGGATTACATCCTTATTATGAGAATAAACAGGTCAACCGTCGGACCGAAGAAGTGAGGATGAACCCCTCAAGCATTCAAGATGCTTTGATGAAAACATGTATGACAGTAGAAGGAGAACATGTCTCCTTAAAGAATATGTCTGTGGCTGCTGTTTGGTAATCATGATTAGGAATGCAGTGTGGTGCAGGCAAGTCTGTCACACAGAATCGCTGCTGTTAAGTTGGTTACAGGACTTCATAGGCAATCATCAGTTGCAAACTCTTGTGAGACAGTCTGATGAGTTGAAGTAAAGCCATTTAACCTCAATCTAATACTGTGTGTGGTTAGATGGGGTGTTCACAGGAGCTGTGGACAGGGTTGTGTGGAAGCAGAGTACTTGTTAATTACTGTTTCACAGTCAAAATCCGATACACGCTCTGTATTCTGTTACTTAGAACTACAAATACTTAAAAGCGTTTCAACTGAAACAAGGAATTTTGATCGAGGCCCCCGTGGTGGTGTTCCACATTTTGAAGTGACGTGTTACAGTCAAATAAATGCCATCTGAAATTCAAGTCGGAAGCAATCTCAAAGAAACTGCAAGCAGAGTACATGAGTGATAGTACAAAGCCCCAAATATATCAAATTACAGGAAATAATTGAAGCAGTAAATGACTTGTGTTCGATAAGTTGATGGTCAAAATTGTCGATTGTTGATCGTCTGATAGAGTAAACAGATTAATTCATATTTGCAGTATGTTACAATATTGCTAAAATAAGAAGTTCCAGTATGAGGAATATATGCCGCCCTTTGTGCAATTTCCTGCATAATATTAACAAAATATCAGACTGTATGAAAAGACAGGCAGATAGGCAAAGACACAATCTCACTTTCTCTCTGGCCATGTCACAGCAGATACATCTGAGCTCTCTAATCATTGAACATCATGGACCCCCCCCCCCCTAGCTATGCAGCCCCACAACGGAGGGAGGCGAAGGAAGTGCACCCCTCTCACACTTTTCCACAAAAGGTACTACTATCATGTCCACCGCTATTGCAAAGAAAGCTTTAAAAGCGTCAATGCAGCTGCGATGTGGAGCACACTGCATGATAATGGTTTACACATGCAAAGAATGACAGAGTGCAGTGAAGCAGACTGTTAAGCAAATGTTTTTGTCATAGCCTCAGTAATGTGCTTTTTACAATGCTGATGTCCGGACAGCTGGCGAGCCAAGACTGGCAGCCTGCCGTGAGAAACCAGAGACGCCGCCTCTCACCCCAACCAGTGGGGAAAAGCGTCTTATACCACACTTCCACAGCATTCCTCCCTATAGCAGACATACTCTGCACAGGAAAACCCGAACAAGATGTGTGTTCAGAGGGATGAGTGACATCAGCTGGATGATCTGGTGAACGCAAACATTTGGGATTCCACTGGAAACCACCAATCCCACAACTATGAGTCTGTTAGCTGCTCTGGGGGGGGGGGGACAGCACAGTTGAATGATAATCGTACGTACGAATTCATTCCTTTTCCGTGCAATTGTGTGAATATCAAGGGACACATCCCCCCTGGGCCGATAGTCTCCCACAGCTTTCTGTCATTTGTTTGTCTCGCAGAGAACAAACGGGCTCAGGTTTCATTATGCGCTTACATCTCTTAGCCATCTACGCCCACACACTTCCCCATATGCTGAGGGATCCCTTTCTGACTCCGTCTGCACAGACAGAGTTGGAAGGAGAGGAAAAGTGAAAGCTGTACAAAGGCAGATAGCGAGAGAGAAACGGCGGAAAGAACCATTTTTTTTTTTTTTGGCGAATGCGCTCCCCATTCTCTCCAGCTGGCCTGATTGTGTAAACACAGCGAAATCAAATGTTCCCAGGCTAGGTGCATCACACCCCAAAACAGGTGCTTTTACTCCCTCAATCACCATCTTCCTCCCACCCACTCACTCTGAACTTTGACCTCGCGGTCCAGGTGGCAGGTGCTCCAGTTTGAGTGCAGTCCTAGAGAGTGCAAAGCACTGAGCCATATCTCATACTAATGAACAGTGGGCCCTTCTCCAACAGCCAGAATTCATATAGAAAAGAAATGCAGAAACAGGAGGTGCAGATAAAGAAGAAGTCTGGTAGTGTAAACATTCAAAGATGTCTCCTTTACGTGCAAGCTTCTGCAGAGGATTTCAAAATGACTCTCTAGAGATCTACTCAAAAGGGTGGTTGTAAAATGCCGCTAACTATAGAGCAGTTAACAGAGTTTTGGACTCGTGCCGAGAAGGAAAACTGATTACATGTGGTTTTTAGTTGCAGGACTACAACATAAATCGACAGTAATTCATAGATACTACAGCAAACTGTAAAAGAATGTTTGCGTTCGATTTGTAGTTGAATTATTAATCAATGTATAATGAATTCAACCATCATTTAAATGAATGACCCTTTCATGAGGAGTGGCGCATTCGTTTCCAGCCTAAGATTGACATAAATTAAAAGGGTTTACGTAGACATGCATACTGTGTGTCCCCGCTCTGTGTTTGTACTTATCTCCTTACCTGCAGCAGCATGAATGAGGACGCTCTGGTTGGGCCGCAGATTGCCGAAATCAAACAGCATCATGTAGGCAGTGATGTAGTTCACAGGGAGGGCTGCTGCCTCCTCGAAGCTCATGCCCTCTGGGATGAGGAAGGTGTGGGTTGCCGGCACCGCCGCCACCTCCTGCCACAGCCCAAAGCGGTTCAGCACCATCACCTTATCGCCGACCTGGAACAGAAGGCGCAGGAAGACAAGGGATGAGAAGGAGGCAAAGCAAAGGGCTCTCTGTCTGTGTTTCCAGTTACTAAAGTAATGACATGATTCTCAAAGTTAATTTGATTTAAAAAAAAAAAACTATAATAATTTTGATTTGATTAAAAAAATGATATTGAGACAATTATACCACCTGAACACCACAAGTCTGCAAAAAAAAAAAATAGGTAGCAGTTGTGCGGCCTTACGGCTTCTTTGATGCAGTGGAAAAGATGTGAGCCGTATAGTAAGAGTGTGGTTTGCAAACATGCAGCCACCTCGTCCACCAAACCTGAAAAGTGTTTGCTCCTAAAAAGTGCTAGCAAACAAGGAAAGCGATAAACCACAGCAGAGTAAGAGCAGTAACTGTATTGACTTTATAGAGGGAAATAACAAAGCGACAGAAGAATCGGTGTTAAAAAAAAAGGAAGTGGCTCTATTTTATTGTTTTTCCTTTTTGATTAGCATGTCAGGTGCTTTGGGATTGGTGCCAAAGTATGATAGCTGTTCTATAAATGATAAAATATACGATTATCAAGCAATTTCTATCTTTCAGAACCACTATCCTGACAGTGAGGAAGCCACAAACATCCTTTAACGTGCTGCACGCCACGATCACCATCGGGGTCATTTTATGCTTCCACAATCTTATCAGTGCAGATCCTCTGATTCAAAACTGTCTCTCAGAAGGACAAGCCTCAATGTAAACTTACCCCTCCGGCGCCCTCACTAACCAATCAGGGGAGCCCGCTCAAGGGACACAGGAAACAGAGATGACTGCAGCATTATAACTCTCTTCCTGTTTTCTTCCTCCCCCTTATTCAGCCCTCCCGACACAGCTCACCCTCCTGTAACGTTTCCATTCTCCTCACTTTTTTATCTTCCCTTCTTTCTCTTTCAATTCCTGACTCCTTTTCCTCTTACGACTTTAGAACGTCTTCCTTCCCCTTCTCTAGTCCCTCGTCTCGTCCTGTCTGTGTCTCGCCTCCTTCTTTGATGCTCTCTCCTTCCTCACTATTTCTTCATGCTTCTCCGTCTCATTCCGTCTTCACCATCGTCTTTCTTTTTCTCTTGCGAGGAGTGTCCCGTATCCCCTCTTCCTCATCAGTGAGACAGGACAATGGGGCCCATCTTCTCCCCTGGCTTCCCTCCACTCATCAAGAGTCCCTGCCAGATTCTTCCCCATGGCTGAGCATAAGACAAGCTCTCTCCTCCTGGGAACAAACCCTCTCCACCCGGGCCTCTCTAATGGTCTGGAGGGAGCAATGCGCCTCGCTGTCTATCCGCTCCAATTAGAGAGATCTCCCTCTCTCTTTCCCTTTTTTATACCCACATCCCTCTGTCTGAGACCGAGTCATTTGGTTTCTATTTCTTCAAAATATACTTTTTCACTTTTCCACCGTGGGCTTCTTCTCTTTCCTCCCCTTTGTCATTCACGCTGACTCACTCTCGGCCATCTCAGGGTTTTTTTTCTCCTTTTTTTTTAAGTCTTCAAACTCATCAGCCTCGTGGGTTTAATTGGGGGTACAGTGTGGCACAAATCGATGGACGGGGGAGTACAGGCGTGTGCAGGAAACACACACAAATATGACTCACACATCATCTGCAGCTACTGTATTCTTTTGCGCCCACGTAAAGCATGTGAGTTACTGTCAGTCACACAGAATCTAGGTAGGAACATTCAAGGCCAGTGCGCGAGCGCACCTTGTGACAGTTCTGTTACAACATCTTCACAGTGTGACACACACACACACACACACACACACACACACACACACACACACACACACACACACACACACACACTTCCCTTGCATTTCCTTTCTCAGCCTTCATGCCACTGCATCAAATGTAGTCACAGTCGGGGTCAGGATTGAGGGAGCGCTGAACAAAGACACTTCCAGTTAACTGTACATGAATGGACTTAATCAAATGGTGATTCAATTTTGGGGTATGCGGGCCTCCAACTCAGCTGCTTCGGGGGCTGTGAGCTTTGATGATCTCAGCGAAAAATTATCGGGGGAAAAAAGAAAGGATGAACAAAATTTGTGATACAGAGTTCCTGAGTCAGGTTGAGGCAAAAGATGAAGGTAATAAATGTATGAGACATGTAGTAACACCCACATAGCCTGCATGGCTCCTGTAAATGTAATTAAAAGGAAACATAATATCTCCCCGGTGTCAGCGTAGGTGTTACCGTGCTTTGACACAGTTTGTGGGATGTTGGGATAAGGGCCACGCCCTGCTCTCACACACAGCATAATTGGTGACATGAGGGTCTTTGTGCTGCTTTTTGCACTTGACTGCACCTCTGACTATGCAAATCAGCATATCGTGCTCTCAAAATACCATTATTGTTCATCAGCTTTTTGCAGCTCGATTAATATTAGAGGCCTGAATACAACTCCACACTTTAAAAAAAATGTGAGATCCAAAAGTATGTGTAAGACGTCGGGTTTTTATTTTGACCCAGCAGTTTATGGCAAACTGTCAACAGGCCATGTACAGTATGAGAGCAAGCTCTTAATGCTGTAATCGTGATGAAAAGGAGACATGTAGGATGAAAGAGGAAGTTATATATGTCTGTAAAGGAGAGAGGATGGTAATACAAAGAGAGAGCAGCATGATAGAGGGATTCACTGACAGCACGTTCAACAGAGGAATAACCAGGAGATTATACGAAGGAAGGAGAGCTAGTTAGAGAGAGGGAAGGAGGAATGGAGGAAATACCAGACTGACAATGTGGGCCAGAGGGAGGTAATTGAGAACATATGGGTCAGATCCGACTAAAACTCACAGAGGAAGAGCATGAAAAAGGAAAAAAAGAAGAAAAAGAAGCGGGTCAGGAGAAAAAAAGTGCTGATGTTTGGAATCAGGGGAGCGTCGGTAATTTGTGATATTTCCCCTCTTCCCTCTCTTACTCAGTGTTACACTTTTCCCCGCACTCCCTGCGAGGTCATTTCGGGTGAGGGCACTAGCATTACTTCATTCAACTTGATTGTCCCCCTCGAGGGGTGCTTGTTTTTCGCAGACGTTATTGAAACATAATGCGAGGCATGCAGTGAATAATAAACACAAATAAAAACACAAGAGTAAGCAAGCAGCAAAACAATAAACAAGACAAAGACAGGGAGACTAGGGGGAAACAATGGTGCTGCCTTTATCAACTCTGCAAATGTCTAATCACATTATACCCGGGGGTTGGTGTTGTTTGAATTGTTTCCATACCTGAGTTCTGATATCAAAACGATATTTTTGTCAAAGCATTTGACAAATGGAGACATATTCAGCAAAAAAGTCGAAGTTCTCAAATGCCTCTTATGTCTGTGAGGGAAAGAAAGCTCTTACATATGAAAATGTCAGAAAGATGAAATAAAAACCAATCACACTTAGCCACCGATGTTTATGTTGAATCATCTAATTAAATGGCATGAATGTGTCCATAGCTTTGTGCACACTGTATGTTGAGCTAACTATGAGACACACCCTTTTTTTGTATGTCTTTGTGTGCATATGTGTGTGTGTGTGTGTGTGTGTGTGTGTGTGTGTGTGTGTGTGTGTGTGCGCGCGATGGAAACAGACATAGATAGGCAGACGGATAGAGAGCTGCAGTGAGAGATGAGCCTCCCAAAAAATTCTGTGCCATCAGGGTCAGCACATTCCCTCTGAGTTGGATGCCAAAATATCTCAGAGATCTCGATCCATTAGGAAGATTGGCTCTTAATTCTATAAACTACGGGCTGCAAACGGATGTGGTGGGCGTGAGGCCTTGATGACAAGACGTGTGTTTGTGCATGCGAGTGTAATGCATGACCTTTAAATCCAATCTACATCACTGACAATGTGGAAAGAAGCTATTAGGTAGTCTAGAAACAAATGGGTCTTAACCTTCTATGGTGTCTTGCTGCTATTGGCCGACTTGCCGCCAATCACATTCATAGTACCTTGCACAGCTTCCCCCATCAGTAAGGACTTCGCATATGTGCCACTCCCAGCACTGATGCTGCATTTGCTTCACACATCGGATCAGCCTGATGTTAACCACAGATATTAACTAGCTGTCTGATGTGCGAATACGTGGTGGTCTGACAACAAATGGCGTGAGTCATCATCACTGGCTCATTTGTAACATATTGGCTTTTGTGTATTAATTGCCTTACAAAAGGCGTTACCGTGGTGATGCCATGCAGCCAGGAGACAGACATTTAGGCCTGTGACTCACCATGCACTGTTAGAAATCGACTAATAAGCCTCTTTCAATCACCACTTTATTCCTTGTAGCTGAACATAAAGGATTTTTTTATTATGAGTGTTTAATTGACTTTGCTTCATTGTGCATTTTAACTTTAATGGTGATGTTTATGACTGTAAATATTTTCTGAACACAACAGAGGCGATAGATTTTCTGTTGACAAAGAGGGCGAGTGTTCCTATATTCCTCACACCAGGCTGGTTGTTGCGCCGCGCCGCGCCTCGCCCTTTCCGCTCGGTGAGTCTGTGCGCCACCGTCGCTCCCGGTAACAAAAGGCGTCCGTGACTCCAGTCTCTGCCACCAATGTCAAGTTAGCCATATTAATAACTGTGGCATCTGACCATCGTTTCCGCAATAAAGTCCTGTATTAATTAATAGGATGAGCAAATTAGAACCGAGGAGGCCTTTTTATTGTTGTTTTTTCACCCAAGATGTATTTTTTACATTTTGCATTTAGAGTCGTAAAGGCCTAAGCACGAGGAGGAACTGCAGACCTTAGCCTACAGGTGCACGTCATATGAGTAAACGTTGCTCGTTCAGTGTGCTAAAAATGTTTAACTCTTTCTTGATTTCCATATGTGGCACATCTTTTCATTTCCACTCCTTTTGTCACCAATAAACAGCCAAGTAACTGTTCAAAGCTTTAATTTTGAAGGCAATGCAGTCTCATTTCCGGTGGCTATCTCTGGCTGACTTGACGCAGCTCTCCGCGCCTTGGCACACATCAAAGCGCAGTACAGCGTAGGTACTGGAAGGGTGGAAAGCATCCAGCGGGTTTGCGTATGTTTATTTAGACTTACAAGACATATGTTGCGTAGAAGTGATGAAGCCATCTCCATCTAAGCAACTATTTTGGACGTGAAGTTGCTCAATCTAAGTGCGCACAATTCAGCGCAATTTGAAAACCGGGGAGACAAGAGGGGCGACGCCTGCTGCTGACTTCATTGTACTCAACTCGTGTCATTTACACATTTGGGGCTTCTTCTACAGAGATGAAATACAACATGAACACAATAGCAGGCTTCATCCACTTTGAACGTAACAAATGCTGTCTCTTTATGCACGGGTAAAATGAACAGATGAGCCCCGATAACAGCTGAAATATATAGCCTACTATAGATCAATATTTATTATTAACATACTACTGTGTTAATAATTACCTAACCCAATAGCCTATTGCCATTAAATGCATTAAGTCATGAAACTGCACAGCACTGGCCTCCGGTACCACCACTGCCTGAGCAGCGAGCAACGCCTGACACGCCCATATCCAGATGTAGCAGTTCAGCACAAACGAAACGAGGCAAATATTCATCACTTAAACAATAAAACACACACAGTAAAATGAGGCTTAAAGCGCCACGATAAGAAGCACAGAGGCATGTGCGCTTACTTGTCTGTCCGTCACTTCTTCCCCTACAGCCTCCACCACCCCAGAACACTCCATTCCCGGGGTGACCGGCGGGGATGGCAGCCGGTCGTACAGCCCCTGCCGAGCCATCAGGTCTGCGAAGTTCAGCCCGCAAGCCTTGACCCGCACCAGGACCTCGCCAGCCTTGAGCGCAGGCTTGCCCTTCTTCACCTGCAGCTTGACTTTATCATAGCCCCCGTAGCCGGTGAGCACCAGAGCGCGGTAGGTGAACGTCTCCTCCTCGGGGACCTTCTCGGTGGTCACCGCGGGGGTAGCAGTTGCCTCGGCGGCGGCCGCGGGTGCCGGCTCCGTCTTGGGCGGCTCCGCTTTGGGCTCCTCAGCGGGTTTGGTCTCCTGCTTCTGGTCCACGGCGTTTTGCTGCTCGGCAGGTGCGTCTTCTCCAGACATTGTGCAGGGAGATGAAAGACAGTGATGAGTCTAGAAAATGACTTAAAAGCTTTTTTTCTCTTTTTATATACTTCTTGTGCTTCTGTTGCCGTGGGCGGGCTTGTTGTTTTGTCGCGTGTGCTTGCCTTGCGAATAAAAAGACAATGCGAGAGCAGGAGCGTCTTTTTCAGCAGTCTTGCGTGGAGACACAAACCCCGACAAAGTGGGCTGTTCAGTGGCCAGTAGCTGTCAACGCCGCGCTCTGACAGAGTGTGCGAGTGGGACGAGACAGAGGCAGGCTGGAAAACACGGAGAGCGGTGGAAACGCAGGGATTGGCGTCTGTGACTGGGCGTGTTTGGCTGTCTGGGGTAGGGCCATAAGATAAGCCTATATTGCATCAAGCATAGGTGATTTGCAAAAATGTCAATTATAGCTAAAAAGGCAAATAAAGTTAAAGACAACCCATGCAAAACCAAAAACTGGTGATTACTGCAAGTCTCGATATTACAGTTAAAATGCTGTATTATCGTAAGAGCAAAAAAGTAGCATGCCAAATAAGGAAGACAGAGAGATAAATTATGGGTTCAACCCTTGAGACACAATAAATCACTATAAACTCAACAGTGTATTGATTTTTCACGTTTGAGCTGACTATGACACATAATCAGAACACAGTGTATTGCCCTTATGTGATGAAATAGAAAGCACATGAATATTTCTGAAATGAATATTTCTTTCAACAAGTATCTGCTTCTTTCTTTCTGTTTACAGCTGCTTGTTTAACGGTGAGGTGTGTGGTGCCGGAACAGTAGCAGCCGGAGGAAATGTCTGTTTATGCCAACTATTCTACAGTGGGATTTGCAGGAACTTTGGGCCTGCGTACGGCTCATTGTTATAACTTCCCTGTGCAGGCAGCTCAGAAAAATATGAGTTTGTGTTGAGGTCATGCCAGTTTCTGATTAAACGATATAACCTGCTTTGTATTATTCAGCTTCAGTTCAGGGAGCCAGAGCCAAAGGGTCGGGATGACCTCTCCATTCAAATTCATGGTGCAGGGTTACAGTCTTTTGGAGACCTGGTGGATTGTGTGATTGGAACAAAACGTTTTATGATCACAGAAGCAACAGTCAGTATCTCTTATATCCGTCTCATAAAGGAACCAGCTCTTTACCTTTAGAGCTGAGGGATCAACCCAGTGACCATTCAGAGAGATTTGACCACAAGAGGAGTGGTGAGACACCTTGTGGCAGTAAAGAGCCACTCAGCACTTCTGAGGCCAAAGTCAGCAGTGACCCAATCAATATACCACGGGGCTTAATGATGTAGGATGCAGGCATTATTGATCTGCCGCTTTGACGTGGGCAAAATGTTACAAGGCAGATTGTCTGTTCTTCCCAACCGACCACACTGAGCCACTCTGGAAATACATCAGTATGCTGTGGGTGCTCGCTCAGTGGCTCTTCTCCTCATTAGCTCTGACAGGGCCAGTATGGTAATGTAGCAGGAAAATGACTTGGACTGCAGGTTGGAATCCGAAAAAAGGGATTAAAAGTGGAGCTCAATGGGAAAGCTTTCTATAGTTTCACTGTGGGGCCAAGAAGAACATTTCAGAACATGTTCCAGCAGCTTAACAATGTTTGAAAATTGTATCCATCAAAGGAAGTGGCTGCAGCTAAAGGAACACAGGGATATGATGCAGGAACAGAGACGAATTTGCCTTGGACACCTGGTGTAGTTTGGAGACTTCTTCTGTCGTCTAAGTAGGTTACCGCATGCATAATGTTTCTCAGTGGCGTAATTTGGCCTGGATAAAGTACCGTGTCACCACTCTGCCAGGCAAATACAGTCTGCAGGGAGTCTGGACCATCTCTGAGGATGAGTGTGGCTGATATGCAAAAGTGTCATTAAAACTGGGCAAATAGATTACCTTCTTGAAGGTCAATGTTATTCTTTCATAGATTATTACAATATCCATGAAACAAGATTCAGAATTGCTTTCAGTGCTGCTGTTATGCTAAACCAGTGGCTTCCAGTCTTTTTGGGTCACTAAGTAATATATCTTGTTGTGCCTAAGATTTTTGCCTGGGGCTAGGAACCACTGTGTTAAACGCCAATGTATAAGCAGCATTATTATGTTGTAGCTGGTCAAGGTAGAGCAAATTCTATCTACTTATGATATTTCCTCATGTCTTAAAGCTCCTGCCCACCCATGGTTATCCCACACAAGTGTTTTCACCTATGTTTCCTAAAGGTATTAGGTATTGTATTAGTATTCTAAAATGAAAATGCTGTTTTGGAAGAACTTTTGTTTTCACAGTCTTCTTGGCAAGTCTCCGAATGCAGAAGTCAGCGCATACTGGCTCTTTACCAACTCAACCTCTGGCCATTTATTTATTCTTTCAGTTTTCATCTACCCTCTTGTTGAGTGATCTGCTGCTCATATCTCTGCTCTGTTCATGCATGGGTGTAATGAGTTTATTGGTTGAGTAGCATATCCATCAAAGCATCTCTTAGCACATATTAATATACAGGCAGTGGGAATGCGGAACACTTTACCAGCTTGCTGGCAGATGCAGCAGAATAGTCAGCATGAGAGTGAGAGTAATCCACCTACCGTTTATTGTAAATATTTATCCATTCATGTACATACATTCATAAAAAGCAATACGGGAAATGTCTATGAATTGAAGAACAAAATGATGAGCTCCAGCAGCTTCTTATAGAGACTTCCTGTCTGCTCAGTTAACTTATGAAAAGTAATATATTATATTCTGTGTCCCACAGGGTCTGGGTAATGAATACATATATACTGCCACCTGCTGTTCTATTGACTGAAAGAGTGATCTTCTCCCATACCACAGGTGATAAGTCTGCCCAAGTTTTGGGATATCTGCCCCGAAATTATTTACCACAGTTCAAGTATAATAAAGCTGAAAGGAGTTTTGGTTTTTGAAAGATTTGAAAACATTCAATTTGAGAAACGCTACAGCAAAAACCTCGCCAGAAACAAGCCGGCATGGAAAGAGTACTAGAATATCACACTCAACTAGTTATTTCAAAGACATTTTACTCAAGTAAAAATAAAAGTACTTGTGTAAAAATGTGCTTAGATGGGAGTAAAAAGTAGTTAAGTAAAAATGCACTTTGAGTAAACGTTATACGCTACACTATATATTGCATTGAATGTCAACATATAGCTTTAGTGGACCAACTTCTGTTCAAACCAACACAAATTAATTTCTTTGAACAGCACTTTGCAGCCTGTAGCCTGCCCTGCAGTATTAGGCTATATTATAAATATACCATTGCCTTCCTCTGTATAGCCTTACCAGAGTCAACCCAAAAAGAGCATGAAACTCAGACATTAAACCAATATGACAGACAGTATAGGCATAAACGAAGTCTTTGAACACCACGGCGGGTGCAACAAGCATTAGACCTATTAAGACACAAATAAAACTTCTTAGAGAATCAACAGAAGAATAAAACATCCCCAGCATGAGCATTTTAGCATTTAGCATGTTAGCCAGATCCAGCATGCACCTGTTGGGTGTGTTCAATTTGGGTCACTTAGCGTGCTGGTCGATCGTTGCATTAAACCAATGATTAATTAAGGTTGATGCAACCTATTTTTAAAACTATGTCAAGGAGCAGTAATGGTAACATAACTATAACCCATAATGAGGTCATCCTTTATGTCATTGCATTGTTACGCACCCTTCCCTGACTACAAGCCCTGGCCCATGTGCAATACCTACACATACCCCCGTGACACTCGGCCAGTGAAGACACGTGTTCAACCTCTTTTCCAGAGTGTCACCTCTCTGGACATGGAGTCTCTGGAACTCTGCCCTCCTGTAACCAAACCACACCACTTTTCGTTGTGACTTTTGTGATTAGGCCACTGTGTAACAGATGCAACTTCAAATGTAACAAAGAACAATACTTGTGTTAAAAAAAATAGGCTAGGTGACATAAGTAAAAGTGATATTATCTATATTTAGAAATAGGCTACTCAAAAAAGTAAGTAGGCTACACAAAAAAATGACTTTGTTACTGTAAGGAGAGCAAATGTAACTTTCACCTCTGAAAAAAATGCGCATTAGGATCGAAGAGAGGAAGTAAAGAAGTACATGACTAATGTGCAATTTTCAGGTACTTCTACTAAACGTGAGCATTTACATTTCATGCCTTTTTAAAATTCCACTACATTTTGGAGGGAGATATTTTACAGTTCTTTAACAGCTATAGTTACTAGTTACTTATCAGATTTTACCATAATAAATGTATGTTAAGTTTATAAAATATAATGCTTTGTTATAGACTGTGTATTTTTCTTGTGACCCCCACTGGACTAAAGGACTAAACTATTGAACTAAAGTAGTTCAAACCACCACAACAAGCAGTAAAATGCTGCTTATTCATTAATGCAGCAGTAAACAATTATGGTACATATTCCTAATATCCCTCCTGTGCTATCTGATGATACTTTACTAAAGGTACAAGTTTGAATTCAAGGCTTTTACTTGTAAGGGAGTGTTTTTACGTTGTTGTATTAGTACTTTTACTGAGCCAAAGTAAATGAGTCTGTCTACCACTATTGAAAGACGGGCACTCCCAACAATCCAACGATACCACAAACCACTGCCACCAAAATAACAATGTGAGGAATAAAAGTAATTCAACAGTTTTGCAGGTGTGTTCTATTGTTTGAGATTGATGGTATTCCTGCTTATTGTTATATTGTTTCCTCAATAGGACTTTCTTTTGCTACTTCTAAAGTAAATATGATGTAATACCAAGTTGTGTCCAGAAGGCGGCAGTGTCGATCTCCAGGACAAACAACACGACTCAACAGCGCTTCTCAGGCACGTGGTGCCACGTCATTTAATTATCTCATTCACAAAACCAATAACTCCTCAGCGGGGCACTTAGGAACACGAGCTAAATGCAAGGCGACGAGACCCATAAAAGCAGCCCACTCACCTCTAACTATTTCATTTGATGGGCTACTTTATCTATGCACGCTGCATTTATTGTATCTCCATTAAGAGGTCATGCTGGCACTAAATCAAGAGGCATAATGTGCCTTATTTATGCTGCTTTTCCCAACAGTGATCATGAAAAATAGCTATTTAGTCAGTGATCATCATGGGACAAACAGGCACCACTATTAACAAATAAATAATGAGGAAAACACTGCCTTCTTATGAATATTAAAGCTACTTACGAGCCTATCTCTGGCATATTAAGAGTTCTTTTCTACTTAAAAAGGAGGACAAACTGAATTTAAATGTTTTTAAATATTTAAATATCATCCCTGCAGACCAATTTATCACAGTATCCAACACTTCAGTGAAGAAAGAATCCGGTTACAACCTGATCACTAAGTGAGATGTGATTCATGACGGTTTATTGCAACATTATAGTTATAGCCTATAACGACCTGAGGTCATAAAGTGTTTTTTATAGAGTCACATTCTTTTATTTGAAGAATAGTAATAGTATATGCAGGGTCACAATACATGCAGTGACTCTTTCTTCTGTGCCACAGATTCAATTCTGATGTTCTTAAAAATACATTTCTAGGGCAAAACAATAAAGACTTATAAGCATACAACAGGAAGAAGAATTATCTCCATAAACTCTGAGGCCCACTAATATAGCCACTACTGAAGTATTATAATTGAGATATTAAAAGGATACCGCGAGACAAAAAAGGTCACTATAAACTATTTCTCCCACACACCCTTCATTTCCCATGAGAGCAGCCTATTGCAGTTGAGTGATGAGATTCAGAATATTAGGAAGGCGTGGCCAGTAATCAAACTGCTGGAGTTTCCAGTGAAGGCTGTGCGCGTCCTTCCTCAGGTTTCGGTAGCCGACCAGTCAGACAGACAGTCTATCAGCGGGACCGGGGAGCTGCGCGTATAGGACACACGGAGAGCTGGACAAAGCGCACCGGGTCGGCGCATGTATTTGCCCATATTTCTTTCCTCTCTTCTATTCTGCTGCGTCTCCAATGCTGGATGCTGGATGCAATCCATCCGCGTGTCAACAACACACCTCTGACGGACAAAACATGGACAGTCTAGGCAGCCGCTGTAAGATTGTGGTGGTCGGGGACACGCAATGTGGGAAAACAGCACTCCTGCACGTTTTTGCCAAGGACTGCTATCCAGAGGTAGGTCTATCAAAAGTCTGAACCAGAGTGCTTTTAATTTGAAGATAAATGAGACCAGGAGTTTTATGAATGAGCGAGGAGCACTGCCATTCAAATAATATTAATCAGTTCAACTTCAGCACTTGTTCACATCCACCTGCCGTGGAGCCGTAATGAATGACTGTAAAATCCCTGTAATAGTCCTATAATGTCTAAACTGACTTTTATTGTGTCTGCAGTACTCCCCATAACACTTTAAGGCGTTGTCTTCATCTGTTTTATTATTTCTAAAATAAAGTATACTGTTAAATGTGTCTGCCATTATTTTATTAATCTGTTGCATCATTTCAAATATGATTTTTTTTTCTTCCCCCCCACCAGTCTACTCTTCCGAAGCCTGTGGCTGTGTAAACACACGTTTATCTTGTCCGTCTTAATTGGATAACTAAAATAAATACCTTATTTTCAGAACTACGTGCCTACGGTGTTTGAAAACTACACAGCCAGCTTTGAGATAGACAAGCACCGGATTGAGCTGAATATGTGGGACACGTCAGGTAAGACAATTTCACATCTCCGTCTGCACCGTCTCTTAATAAAGGCTGACATCAAGTCAATCCGCTCCCAGCCCTGCCGTGGTGCCCGACCCCTAGCTGCGACCGTGGGAGGATTGCCTCCAACGCCCCTCTGCAACTTTTCCAGCAGTCATCTCTATGACAAATGGCTTTGACCTTGCCAACTTGAGAGGGATGTATTTTGTTTTTAAGAGTCTTCATCTACGTCTGCTATTTATGATTGTTGTCTTTGCTAGAAACTTTGGTGCCAGCCATGTGTCTCTTGCATTCCTTCCTGTGCTGTCCGCTGTGTGTGGCTGGATTTTCCCATGCTCTGACCGGGGTCAGGCGGCTGTTGAGGGAGAAAGGGATGAGGGTGCGGATAATTGAGACAGGATGTGCCTGAAGGGACCAGTAACTGCCCTAACTGTTTACGTGATAGAAAGACGTATTGGTTTGCCGACATATCGTCCAGATATTATGTTATTTGCTGGTTTGGGTGAGTTTCCTTCTTTGCCACATTGTCAGCTTTGATATTAAGTTTTACTTCCTTTAAAATTATTTTGTTAAAGAATCATTAATGTAAAGAGAGTAGTGTTTCCAGAGTTTACACAGCTGGCCTCATATTCCCTTAACCCTAAATTGATTGAATTTAAGAACTTTCTTTTTCAGATTCATTAATCAAGGTTTCAACTGAAAGGTTTAGTGACTTGTGATTTTGCGAATGTTGATTGAGGAGCTTTTTCCAGCCTGAATAAAATTCCCACAGCTGTAAAAATGTCAAATTTAAATACACCGATGTGCTATTATCAGCTGTTACTAAAATAACAATTACTGGTGACATCAGTGTCAAACGTCGTCGTTCCACAGAGAGGAATCCACGTCAGCAGTGTTGTGTCATCAGGAGGGGAATTTCTCTGATAACAAATCATCCTTACTTTGTCATGTGATGTCACGTGAATGAGTTTCCCATGTGATCGGGCTTCAGTGTGTGAATTTGCGTCTTGCTAAGGAAGTCGTTTTGGCCACCACGCTGCCATGAAATCAGTGAGACTCCTGCACAGAGAGCCATGGTCTACTTTCATCCCGGTCTTGTCAGCATGAATGGATGAACTGCTCTGAGCTACCCTGAGATCTGCGTCTCATCGTCGTCATCTCAGGCTAGAGGCTCTTGTCAGCTCTCTGACCAGCGACATGGCTGGCCAGTCACAGGACTGAATACAGGATCTTCCCAGGGGGATTTCCTTCTTTTACCATAAATATTCCCAAACATAAAACTAACAACGATCCTCCAGGAGAGATGATGGGAGTATTTTTATGTTACATGGCCAGTCGGTGAAAGAATGTTGTTTTTCCTTGGACCTCGTGTCGACCCGGGGAGTAAATCTGCTTGAGCCTGTAAATCAGGGGTCGGGGTCCTCTGGGGCCCGGGGCAACAACTTAGAAGAGTTCCTTATCTCTGGGCTGTATAGGAGCCTAATGATGTAGTGGGAGTATTGTGCTTCTGTCCATCTTAAAACCCTAAACCACCTTTGGTAGTGTTAGTCTTTAATCTTCAGTCAGGAGCCGCCCACCCCACAACAAACACGACGTCACCCAACCCACTGGGCAAATGTGTGTGAGTTTGGTACGTACGCGTGCTTCTGTGTGTGTGTGTGTGTGTGTGTGTTCAGAGGTCCTTATGTGGTATACCATTTTCCACCGATTCACAGCAAACACAGATGTTCATATTTTCTCTCAACAAGAAAAATAATTGGCTCACACATAGATGAGAGAAGCTTTCATCTGAAGAAAATAGCATATCTCCCATCACTTTTGGATTCAGATTAGTTAATTGCCCCTCTCCTGCCCTTTTCTAGCTTTGTTTTGATTACTTATCTCCTGTACATTAGCAGCAGCACCACCAGCTCAGTGCCCAGGCTCTCAGGCACGGTCGCACCATCATTTAGAGCCAAATCAATGTATTTCAATGCAATGGCTGTCATCAGTGGATTTACTCGCGGAGGGGAGATAAATGTGTGACATGCTTTGGCTCAGAGTTAAACTTCGGTAATCTTTGACCTGTTTATACTCTGTGGGCCGCTTGCGAGCCGTCAGACAGTGCTGACCTTTGAGGGAACCAAAGGGGGTCCAAAATGGAGGAAGCTATCCCCGTCGTTGAGTGCCAATAGAGCAACAATGCCAACAGAGCTTTCCTTCGTCGCAGCCCAGTTTGCCTTTCATCAACCCAGCCACATCATCACCAAGCTGTCAGTACCTGCTATTTTGAGAAGAAATTAATTGTGCTCTTCCACTTTCAGGTGGCTGCAGTCTACAGTGCAATATATATTATATATATATATATAATATATATATTATATATATATA